ATTGCAGTTGCAGTTTACTGGCTTGCTCCCTGTTGCTTTCTTATATAATCCAGCGCCACCTTCCCAGCAGGCGGTAGCATTGTCCACAATGTGCCAGGCCCTCTCACATCAATCATCAAACAAGAGAATTGCCACAGTCCAACCAGATAGACGGAGGTAATGCCTTAACTGGGCTCCGTTTCTCCAGGTGACTATGTCAGGTTGACATAAAGTAATTAGTTTGTAATGAGTTCATCTTACTTGCTGGGATTAAAAGTGTTCATTGATCTGGGAGATGGTGGCACAAATCTTTGGTCCCAGCACTCGGGAGGCAGAGGTAGACAGATCTTTGTGAGTTCAAGTCTAACCTGATCTACAGAGTGAGTTCCAGGACAGGATCCAAAGCTACAGAGGAACCCTGTCTGGAAACACAAACAAACGTGTTTATTGAACCTTTCAGACATTTATATTCATGTCTTTTCATCAAATTTATGAAGTTTTCAGTCATTATTTCTTCTCTGTCTCCTCTCTTCTTTCCTGACAGGATTGAAATGTAACTCAGCGTGGCCTCGAGCCACTATAGAGCTGAGAGTGCACTTGAACTCCTGTCCTCCTGCTGAGAACTTAGATCACAGGTGTTCACCTGTTTGTCCTTGAATCATGCCCTTCCTGCTTCAGCCTCTTGAGTATTGGGATTACAGGCATGCGTTACCTCGGGCTCGTGTGTGTGTGTGTGTGTGTGTGTGTGTGTGTGTGTGTATCAAATCCAGGGTTTTATTCATGCTAGGCAGGCACTTTAGCTCTGGGTTACATGCCTACCTACCTTGATATTTACACTTGGTTCACACAGTATTTAACTTTATCCATGTCTTCCTTTGGTTATTTTAGCATCTTTAAGTCAGTTATTTGAAAGATTTTACTTAGCTGGATGTGGGGCATGCTTAAATCCAAGAATTAGGGCTGAAGAGATGGCTCAGAGGTTAAGTGTTTATTGCTTCTTACAGAGGACCTGGGTTCTGAGTCCCACAAGGTCTCACACAGCCTTCTATAACTCCAGTTTCAGTGGCTGAAACTCTTCTTCTCCAGTGAACACAAGGCATGCATGTGGTACACAGATAGACATGCAGGCAAAACATTCATATATAATATATAATATATGGGAATATATATATATATATGTTATATATATATAATAAAAAATTAAGGAGATCCCAGGACAGGGAGGGTTGAGCTACGAGCACTACTATTTCAAGTTTGAGGACATCCTGGGCTACAAAGTAAGTTGAAGGCCAGCCAGGGCTATCTCAACTCAAAAAACAAAAACAAAACAAAACCCCACGGTTTTAGATAATCCTGCTATTATACCTCTTTCAATGCATCCACCCCCAGTTTGCCTTCGAGTCTCTCTGATGTTTGCAAATTTTGATTGCTGCAGGCTGCCTCTGTGACAAGGACCAGCCTTAGTGTCTCCATCTCCATCACACAAAGTTTTGGGCGGTCATAAAGCCCAGTTTTGCTTAGGACTTGCTCATGTAGGTGAGGCCTGAGCCTCAGCTCCACATGATAGACAATCATACCACATCTCCAGTCTTTAAATTTTGTCAGATCTTGTTCTGTGTTTTTCTTCTTGTTAAATTTCATAAAACTTTATAATATTGGATAGGTAACACATTGATATGGTTTAAAACTTGTTTAAGGGCTGGAGAGATGGCTCAGAGGTTAAGAGCACTGACTGCTCTTCCAGAGGTTCTGAGTTCAATTCCCAGCAACCACATGGTGGCTCACAACCATCTATAATGAGATCTGGTGCCCTCTTCCGGCCTGCAGGTATACATGCAGGCAGAATATTGTATACATAATAAATTAAATAAATAAAAAAACTTGTTTAATGGGGAAGGGCCTAGGCCTGGCTCAGGATGATGTGGTAGACTTTGAGGAGCCCCTTTTGAGGGCCTTACCCTGCCTGGTGAGTGGAGGGGGGAAGACTAGGGGCAGGTGGGATGTTGGGGGGAGGGGAGGGAGACGGAGAAGGAATTGACATGTGAAAGAAGCTTGTTCCTAATTTGAACTAATAAAAAAAAAAAAAAAAAAAAAAAAAAAATAAAAAAAAAAAGAAAAAAAAACTCGTTTAGGTAAATATTTTGCCAGGTGGTGGTGGTGCACACCTTTTATTCCAGCACTTGGGAGGCAGAAGCAGGTGGATCTCTGAGTTGGAGGCCAGCCTGGTCTACAAAGTAACAGTTAGGACTGTTACACAGAGAAACCCTGTCACAAACAAACAAACAAACAAACAAAACAAACAAACAGTAAATGTCTTGACATTTCCTTTCCACTGCTGTCCCTCAGATATCCAACTGCCTCTCCTTATGTGGTGGATTATGAACATCTGAGTAAATACATCCACCTGTTTGATGCAATTGAGTTCCTAATGTCTTTTGTCCTCATGGGTCTTTGCTACTGGTTGTGGTGGTCTGAATGAAATGTCCCCTATATTCTAGATAATTTGAATACTTGGTCCCCAGCTGGTGACACTTAGGTGTGGCCTTGCTGGAGAAAAGCATCACTGGGGATGGAGTCTGAGGTTTAAAAGCCTTTCACCATCCCCAATTCATTATTGCTTCCTGTTTGTGGTTGAAGATGTGATCCCTCTCGTCCAGTCGAAACGTCTTGTCTCCTGGCAGCGATGGACTCATTCCTCTGGGACTCTCAGCCCCTAATACACATTTTCTTCTTTACACTGCCCTGGTCACAGTGCTTTACCACAGCAACAGAAAAGTGACTAATACGATAATAGAATAGAGAGATTTTTTTTTTTTTTTACATTCAGCTTTTATTTAGTCACTTACCAAATATCTTTAATGCTGATAGGTTTACAACTGCCCTTTGGATTTTCTACATACACAATTGTACATCAGAACAAGAGAATTTACTTTCCAACATTTGTACCAATTTGGTATTCTCCCCTGGCTTCTTTCTCTGGAACCTTCTAAACAATGTCTTACTTCAGCCTTTAGAGAAAGGTTAGTTCTTACAAGTAAAACATCTATTAGTTTTTTGGTGGTCTATCATATACAAATAATTTTTCTTTAACTCAGGCTTAAAGAAATCCCACTCAAAACTGCTTACACTGATGTTTTATCTTTCACTTAAAAACCTTAATTTTGAAGTAGTTCTAAACTTACAGAAAAGTGCATAAAAATAATACAAAGAATTTCTGTATACCTTTCTGCAGCTTCTCCTCCTCACAGTGTACAAGCATGCACGGCAAATTAAGATCCCGGAAATAGTTCAAGTTGCCTTCATATTTTCTAAAAGTAAGGGCATTCTCTTCAATATTCATAATTATAAAAGTGAAACAAACATTATCCTTCCATAGATGACTAGCTAACACTTGCTCTTGTTGTGGCAGATGGATGGCTTTGCTGACACTGGGCAGCAGCTGCATGCCCTCATGAGACCAGTCTACAGTTTAACTTACTTGGAATTTCTGCATCTAGTCAAAGGTGAGACTGGGGTTCTATAAGTCAGTTTTATCAAGTCTGAGTACATGTGGGTCTTCTATTTATTTTCTTTCATGGGGTCTCACATAGGTCAGGCTGGCCTCAGAGTCACTACTCAGCGATGATCCCCCTGTCTCCCCCTCCCAAGTGCTTCCATTATAAGAATGAGCCACCATGGCCCCCATCACCATCCTTTTAAAGACAAAGACTCTTATAGCCCAGGCTGGCCTGGAAGTTGTAGCTGAGGATGACTCTGATCTCCTGATCCTCCTGCCATAAGTACAATCGTTTAATTGAGGAAAGTCAAGAACTTGGAGGCAGAACCTGGAGGGAGAAGCTGAAGCAGAGACCACAGAGGAGCTCTGCTTACTGGCTTTCTCCTCTACCTTTGCTATACAGTTAGGCCACGTGCTCAGGGATGGCACTGCCCATACAGGGCTAGGTCCTCCTACTTAAATCTGCAATTTAAAAATGCCCCATGGACTTGTCTACTGGCCAACCAAATGGAGGCAATTCCTCAGATGAGGTCCTCTTTCCCCAAGTGACTTGAGTTTGCGTCAAGTTCAAACCAACCAGTACTTATATACATATATTTTTCAACTCAAAAGTTTAATTATGGGGGTGGGGAGATGGCTTAATTGGTAAGGGCTTGCTACATGAGCATGAAGACCAAAGTTCAGTTCCTAGCACCTACATGAAAAGCTCAGTGTGCTGGCATATGATTGTAACCACAGCCCTAGCAAGGGAGGCAGGGAGCTCCCTGGCAGTCAGCTCAGCCTCCACTCCAGTGGAGACCCTTTCTCACAAACTCCAGCCCAATGGGATGGTTCAGCAGCTATAGGTGTCTGTCTTCAAGACTCCAAGAGAAAGGATCACTACATGCATGCTGTGGCATACATGTCCTCCTCCTTTCTACACACAAAGTAAATAAAAATGTAATAAAGCTATTAAAATGTAATGTACTAACAAAAAAACCAAGGCAAATGGCTGAGGAACACACCTGAGGCTGACCCCTGACCTCTACACACACCCCAAACATGAAAGCAAACCCACACAAAAGTTTAATTAAGTGTTTTTTTGTAATGAGGTGGGGTGGTGCATTCCTTTATTCCCAGCAGTGGGGAGGTAGAGACAGGTTAATCTCTGAGTTCAAAGCCAGCCTGGCTCTACACAGTAAGATCCTATCTCAAAAACTACAAAAACACTCACACAAAAGCCCATTGCCACAAAAAAAAAAAAAAAAAAAGACACAAAAGCAAACAGAGCCTCACAGTTTCAGCTGTCACTGAGCTATACCCTAGCCCACAACACAGTCTGCATCTTGAGTCTGTTTTCGAGGAAACTGTCATTTACCCTATTTTCAAGTTTGCTGCTATGAAATTATAAAAATTATTTCCCCATTCTGTGATTATATCTAATTCCCTACCCTTAGTCTTGGATGTTCATTTTTGGCTTTTTTGGTTGTTTTGTTTTGTAAGTTGCTTGTTGTGTAACATCTTATATTTATTTCTTTTCTTACACATCCTGAGCATAGCACATACACTAAAACTGCAACAATACAGAGATTAACATGGCTCCTGCTCAAGGATGACACTCGTTTTTAGCTTTGTCTGGGCTCCTTTCCCCTTAGGTAGCTCAGGAAATTTTTATCTATTTAACTTACACTTTTAGCTAATTCACAAGATCTGCCTGCTTCAGCCTCTTGAGTGCTGGGATTATAGGTGTGGTCATCACATCCAGCTAGTTACATTTTTTTTTTTTAAATCTTATTTTTCCTCCTAAACACCACCTTTGATGCCCATTTTCTGCTTATTCTCGAGGTTTAAATGTCTTTAAATTTTTCCTTTTAATGTGTGTGTGTATGAGTTCATGTGTACCATGGGTGCAGGAGCCTACAGGGGCCAGAAGGTGTTGGATCCCCCAGAACTGGAGTTACAGATAGTTGTGAGCTGCTAAGAATGGAATCTAGGTCCTCTACAAGAGCTTATGTACTATTAAGCACTCTTAACAGCTGACCCCTAAATGTATTTATTTCCCTCCTTAATGAATCTAAATAATCATTACATACTTTAAACTCACAGTCCTCCTGGTTCTCCTGCCACAGTATCCCTCACCCCATGGGTCACAACTTTGGGCCCTGCCCTGCCCTGCCCAGCCTTTTCTCTTTGCACCACAGCCATGTACAACAGGCCCCTCCCATAGGATGCCTGCTGTCACCTTGCTCTGCTTGCTCAGATCTTAACCCTGGTGTGTTCCCCTTCCTGGGTACAAGCTTATAACAAGTAAAAGTATATGGAATGAATAAACAAAACTGTCCTGTTCTAGGGCCATCACTCCCCCATCTTATATTCCTGGGTGTCTGTGACATGCTGGCACCAAGGCAGGTTCTGAGACTAGTAAGTAAGCCAGACAGGTCAGCATCTGCCCTCCAAGAGGGCAGCTTACATTCTAGTGACAAAGACCGGCAGCAGAACAAGTGGTGCATGCACGCTGAACAAAGCCAGGTATGCTCCAGTACTGGATGGGAATCCAGCACAACCAATGGGACCTGGCCTCCTGATGAAGTGACAATCCAAGTTCCTCAGAGCCAAGAGTCTATTCTGTTCCCCATCCTACAATCAGGAAGATAGCCAAGGGGTTTTCAGGAATAAAAATGATCTGGTTTTGAGTTAAATGCCAGCCGTTTTTGGCCACGATTGACTGACTGATAGGAATACGGCTCCTCATGTTGTGGTGACCCCAGCCATAAGATTATTTTTGCTGTTACTTTTATAACTGTAATTTTGCTACTTTTATGAATTATAATGAAATATCTGATATGCAGGATGGTCTTAGGCAACACCTGTCAAAGTGTTGTGTGACCCCCAGAGGGGTCAGAACCCATAGGCTGAGAACCACTGCCCTAAGGGCAAACTGACATCACACAGGAGGAAAAGGAAAGAAACAGAAGAGGAAGAAGCAGAAAAGAAATAGTAAGGTTTTAAGAAGGCTACTGCATATGCTGGAGAGATGGCCCAGTGGTTACGCACTGGCTACTCTTTCAGAGGACCCAGTTTGAAATCCCAGCACCTACATGGTGGTGCAATATTGTCTGTAACTCTAGTTCCAGGGTATAAAACACCCTCTTCTGGCCTTCAAGGGTATTTTACACATATGGTGCACATACATGCATACAAAACACTCAGACACATAAATCTAAAACAAATAAAAAAAGAGACTGTCACACATTCCAGTGTTACACTGGACTATAGGCACCAATCTGAATACAGATGAAGAGGTAAAAGCAGATGTGTGTGCAGCATGTGTTACCAGACCTATTTACTTTCCTGGTGCAGGTGCTGGGAGGGCCTGGACACCATCACCACACCCAGTGTCCAGATCTTACTCTTGTAGCATCAAGAAACTACTGATTCACACAATAACAGTCAACAGGACAGTGTTGGAGAAATGGGAGCTGTGATATGGAGACTGTGAGTGAGCCCAGAACAGTCCATGGTGCTGGAAGCAAGGCCAAAGCATGAAGGAGCCTCCAATGGTCAAGTAGGGCTGAACTGAGTAACACACTTCCTACTGCGAATCATCAACCTTTATTTACCATTTGAAAATAAAACACCAGCTATATTTTCATCCTGCCGAGACTGTGAGTGAGCCCAGAACAGTCCATGGTGCTGGAAGCAAGGCCAAAGCATGAAGGAGCCTCCAATGGTCAAGTAGGGCTGAACTGAGTAACACACTTCCTACTGCGTCACAACCAACAGAATAAATTAGAATATATTATTGAATAAATGAGGTAAAAGGTTTCTTTAGAATAGAATACCAATTAATACAGATGAATAAGGAAAAACAAAGTCTTCATAAGTAATACAGTAACTATAACAGTTAAATGTCTAAGCTAAGATGGAAACTAAGAAAAATTCTAAGTATGTGACATTTAAACAGCTTCAAGTGTCTTCTCAGAACATTTTCATTCCTTTTTAAAATTTATTATTATTACTACTGTGTGTGGGGGCACCCATGCCACTGCACGTGTGTGGAGGTCAGAGGACAATTTTCTTGAAGTTGGTTCTCTCCTTCCACCTTTATATGGGTTTCAGGGATTGAACTCAAATCTTCAGGTTGTACAGCAAGTTCCTTAACCTGCTGAGCTATATTATAGGCCTTAAGAAAAAAAAAAAAAGGTCTCAATATAGCTCTGTAGACCAGGCCAGCCTGGAATTCATAGAGATGGATCTACCTGCTTGGCTCTTTTTATTTGGAGACAGGCTTTTACTATGTAGCCTAGATTGGTCTGGAACTCACTAAGCAGCAGAGGGTAACCTCAAACTTATGATAATCCTACCTCAACCTTCCAATTGCTGGGAGTCCAGGCATAAGCCGGTATATCTGACTTTATTTGATTTCCAGGGAAAAATTATATATATATATATAATTTGTGATGTTGGGACTCAAACATAGGTCCTCATCCTCATGCATATTAGGCAAGGTCTACTACTGAGCTACACCCCAGCCTGAAAGTTTACAATTTTACAGTAGGGAACCCTTATACAGACAACCCTAGCCTCATGATTACAGTTAACAGTTCAGGTGCTGGGAGGCAGCAGGGCAGATGGCATCTATAAGAATGTAGACCTCAGTCTCATCAGTGACAACATTAGACAAACCCAAGCTGAAAGACTTTAAGAATGTCAAGACTGCAGAAGAGCAAGGAGGACATAGAAATTGCCTCAGGCAGACACGGGGGAAGGGAATGGAAAGCCAAATGCAACATTGGATTCTGAGCAGGTCCCGGAGCTGAAAAGAGGAAAGCTGGTGAAACCCAAATGCTTGCACACAGGGCAGGAGCATATGGCGATGTTCACTCCCTGGTCCTGGCTTTGCCATTCATTACCCCTGGTTTTATGCTGTCTGACATTAGGAGAGGCTGAGTGAAAAGCATGAGAGTTTTACCTTTTTTTGGGGGGCGGGGAGGGATAATTTTCTATCAGTCTAACCAATTTCAAAATAAAAAAGGATAGTTATTGAGGTAGAGAGCAGCAGGCTGCCTGAGGAGCTGGGCTGGGTGTGGCCACCCAGAGCTGTGATCATGCACTGGCTTGACCAGCATGTCATGACATTCTTCTATGACCCATGGCACTGGCTTCAGCCCCATCTCTGCATCCTGACAGAAGCTAGGCAACACACAGGAGGGTTCTATTCAAACCCTGTAGGTAACAGTGGCAACTGGTGGCTTCTGCAGATGATGCACAGTGACTTGCCAGGCCTTGCTGTATCCTGCCCAGCTGGGTTAAAACACATGGTGCTCCTGCTGTTCATATGGGCATGCCATGCTGAGTTACAGCAGGCTTATTCCAGTCTCACTTGGCTGGGAGAGCAGTTAAGAGACAGGGCTGAGGCATGCTCCATGTCCGAGCCTGATCACAACCTTGCTCCCATGTATCTTTTCAGTCCTGTACTGCCAGCCTGCTGAACGAGCACCCCTCAGCCCCTCAACTCAGAGTTGAATTTGGTCACCAGGGACCACGGTCCCATCCCAGAGGAAGGCAGGAAAAGGAACCACTCAGACCTATGGGTGCCCTACAATGGCTTAGTCATAAGGCTTGACTCCAGGGCGGGCATGATGGAGAGTTGTAGGGCATGGGAAAGAGACAGCCGTAGAATAAACTACAGAGCCATCCATGCTTGGGGCTCTTGCCTTCCTCCACTCCCATGGAGACATTATGGGGATGGCCTGCATTAGCACAAGCAGAGGTGGCATATAACTGCCTGGCCCCTGTCCTCTTCCAGCAAGACTTATTTTCTGTTGCCATGCTTCAGAGCTTCTGGCAAAATGGTAATGTTGTAGTGACGTCATGGGATGGAGTCCACACTGAAGTGCAGACCAGGTCTTCCTATTCCTTGCCTTGGAGATCATAACAGACTATGAACCTCACAACCAAGAAGGCAGGGGAGGGCACCAGGCCTTGGAGAGGCATGAGGGGACGATAGGTCAGTTGCCATGCCACAGCAAGGGGCCTTTATTAGATGTTCAGGGTACATACAGGCAGGTGGATGCTAGATGGTGTAGCACACCTTCTCGGGGAGGAGTGGTGCCCGGATGTCCAGTTTTCGGGTCTTGCTGTCCTTATCAATGATCTCCAGACGCAGTGTGGGTGGACGCTTCTCAGCCTCAGGTGAGGGCAGCTCGGGGCTCTTGAGGAGTTGCTTGTCTGAGTCCTCCACAGTGATTCGCAGAGTGCAGCCTCCTGGTAATAGGTCCTGCTCATAGGCTGCTGCCAGCTGGTTTACCACACGGCGCTCTACCTGCAGGTGGTGGGAGGTGACATGGCTATCACTGCCTTGGCCTTCACCTGACCTGTAGCTAGAGCCAAGAGCTCACCTTTATCACTTACTGTTTGGGCAAGTCAGAAACTTCAGAGCCTCAGTTATTACTTGCAAATTTGGCTTAATGGCAACTAGCTCACCAGTTACTGCTAATGGGTCCATGATGTTAGTTTTTGAGTCTCTCAGTCTAGGTCCTTCTAACGAGGGTTCATATTTATTCACCATGTTTAGAGACTAGTGTTTTCTTTTGTTTTTTTGAGACAGGGTATCTCTCTGTAACTCTGGATGTCCTGGAACTTGCTCTGGATAACAGGCTTCAAACTCAGAGATCTGCCTGCCTCTGTCTCTCAAGTACTGGGATTAAAGGCATGTACCACCACTGCCTGGCTAGAGACTAGTTTTAATTGATCATCTTTTATTTTTAGTTCTGAAGAGGTTTCTCTTCTCTGTTGGTATGGATAATCCCAGCAGCTGAACTACAGGGAGACTAGCTGAGCCTGAAAGTTGGGTCTGGGGGCACCAGGGAGGAAGGTGTAGAGGAACCATTCTTGTCTCAGGCCTCTTTGCTTACCTCATGCTTGATGGAGCGGGCGCCATAGTGGACATTGTAGCCATCAACCAACACATCTGCCACCTCTCGGTCCCACAGCAGTGTGATGTTGTGTCTCTGCTTGGCCTGAGGTAGGTCAGAGAGAGGCCTGTCTGCATGTTGCCCACCCAGTAGTACCTCTGGCTCTGAGCACATTGGCCCAAGGGGGCCTTGAGAGACTGTGCCCCCAGGACCCACTGGCCCCACACCACCTTTAAGGGTGGGAGTCATTCTTAAGAGTTCCAGATATCTTATCCCCACCCATGGGCAGTCAGTCCCCTCTTACTCTCTTGGCCCAGAAGTTCAGTTCCTTGTTGACCAGCTGGATGAGCTCTGAGTGGCAAAAAGGGAGGAAGTAGACGATCTCATTGATTCGTCCCAGAAACTCATCTCTCCGGAAGTGAGCCTGCAGAGTTAGGTTAAGGTTGGAGGCACTCAGTGACAGTGGGCGGGAAGTTTCTGGACCAATGGGGAAGACAGGGACTCTCATATTTCTAGTGTGGTTCCTCTGTCCCCAAGCTCCAGCAGGAAGCCAAAAAAAAAAAAAAAAAAAAAAAAAAAAAAAAAAAAAAAACAAAACTCACTTTCAGGATGGGGCGGATCACATTCTCCTTAAAGTTCTTTGAGATGGTGATCTTGTCACTAATCTGGACGTCCCCTGTGAAGACATATTATAAACGACTTACCCAGGGCTTGCTCAGGACCTCTGGCTTGCTGTTGAGTGTAAGCAGCATAGTCTAAGGTCCTGGGCCTTGTCTTGAGTGCCTCAGCTAACTTCTGAGGCCCTCTGGCTTGCAGATGCCACAAACCACCAACTCAGATTTGGTTGGGTTGAGGCAGAAGACTCAGGATGAAGACCTGAGCTCTGACTTAGTAAAGAGGCTCAAGGGCTCATCCTGAGGGGACAGGCAGATGCAGCCTCTCTCTCTCTGGTGCCATCTCCAAGACTCTCATATGTGAGGCCTGTCCACTTCCATAATTTCTGACCTGATGTCTCCTCAGTTTCTGCTGTGTATCCATCTAGTCCCTAGGGCTGGGTGGTACGTCTGAAGCCATCCTGTAAATAAGTGGACCCAGGCTTTACTGAGGGAGGAGGCACTCTCTCCTGTCCCATTGCTCTCTGGGATGATACCCACTTTCTGCTCTAAGGATCTCAAGTCCATTTCTGCCTCCAGGTATACCAGTGGTCCGATCACCTCCCTGGACAGCCCAGGCCATGCATCATACCAAGGTTTTCAGCAATTCGATTTCGGCTCATCTCCAAAGCTTCCTGCCTCAGCTGCAGTGCATGCTGGGCAATCTCATCGCTGGCTACATTGGAAGTCATGATGAAGATGGCATCCTTGCAGTCAATGGTCTTCCCCTTGCCATCTGTCAGGCGGCCCTGGTAAGGATGAGGAATGGCATGTTTAGGAAGCTGGCAGCTGAGTAGGCTCCATCATACAGCTGTTCCCCAAAGTCTTACGCTGTTTGGTGCCTCCTCCTCTAAGCTCTCTGGGCATAGGACTCACATCCTGACAATGGCTTTACCAACTGAGGCCTCCAGTGAGGTGCACCTGCTTTTGGAACCTCAGGACACCCAGCATTCTTGGCTTCCTGTGGCCAGTCTGACTTCCAACCAAACACCTTATTTGGAGAACTACTTTGGGTTGGAACTCTGAGCCTTGTCATGATCCTGGTCTAGAGGGTCTGTGAGACCAGAAAACAAAGGATGATGATGATGATGATGATGAAAGAAAGCTTGGGTTACTCTGCAAGTGCAAGGGAGGGCATCTTAGAGAATGTTATGAGGACACAAGTGGTCACTGGTGGAAGAGATTCAGGAAGTCATGCTGGGCAAATGGTCAGAGAGCTGTTACTCTTTGTGGCTAATGATATCTAGTAAAGTCAGTTCTACAACCTTTTATTTCTTTTTCTTTTTTAAGACAATATGTAGCTTTGGCAGTCCTGGAACTCACTCTGTAGACCAAGCTGGCCTCAAACTCACAGAGATCCACTTGCTTCTGCCTCCCAAGTGCTGGATTAAAGGCATATGTCACTGTGCCTGACTTTTTGATATATAGTGGATTCCATGAATGTGTGGGTGCCTGCAGAAGTCAAAAGAGAGCACTAGATCCTCCAGAGCTGGAGATACAAGTGGTTATGAGCCACATGACATGGCTGCTAGGAATTGAAAAGCAAGCCCTCTTAGCCATTGCCTCTCTAGCTCTCTCCCTCATTGAATGAGGCAGGGTCCCATGTGGGCAAGCCTGGCTTCATACTTATTGTATAGCTGATGATGACCTTGAACTCTTGATCTTCCTGCCTACACTTCCCTAGTGCTGGGATTACAGGTGTATGACACTATGTTCAGTTTATCTAGCTCTGGAGCCATCCTCCATCCTGACAAAGAGGGATAGATGGTGAGGTTCCTCCTTTAACCACTTGAGGAAACTTTCTTGTAATGTTTAGTTCTTTCCAGAAGTGACATCGAGGAAGCCATCTCTCCTAGAGTCAGGCACACCAAAGAATAGGAAAAGGAACAAATGGCAGAAACAGAAGAATAAAAGTACAGTGTTCTGAAAGTAATCAGGCGAAGGGAGTCATGGCCTGGTCATATAGCAAACCTCAAGGTACACCAACAACACAGGAGTGACAGCAGTGATCAGGGCCTCATTGAGAGGGATCAATGGAGTGGCAAGGGTGCGCACAGGCACAGCGCTCTACTCCCCTGGATTGAGGCCAGGCTGCTCAACACTGTCCAGGGCTAGGGTCTGGCCCAGGTGTCCAGCACTCACTGGCTGATTGCTTGAGTCTTTACAACCACAAAGAACTCAAGCTCAGAGTCTTGCAGCCAGAATACAGGACAGAGACAAACTGGCCCCAGAGCTATACCGTCCCCTCTGCACCAGGCTAGAGAGCATCCCAAGGGTGCCTCGTGCTTTCCTCACTGGATTTCCTTCTGGGCCAAACTTATTTTGAATCTTTGCTTCTTACTGGAGACAAGTGTGAGGGAGAGGGAGACAACCTCTTTCTGGGGTTGTCTGAGGTATGACAGAGCTAGAGAACATAGCCTGGGGACAGATCACTGAGCCATGGTGGGCTCCTGCCCCAACCTAAACCTGTCACCATGCTTAGGTCAAACTTTCTTTCCCCTTCCCTGATGCCACTGGAATGAACCAGGGATAGTCTAAAGTCCATGCACTAGTGAGTGCATGGGCATGCTTTCCAGGCTTGTTTTGCCTGGCCCAACAAACGGGTGTGGCACTCCATGTTTTGGAGTGGGTCACCCTGCTGTCCTTGCATTGGGGTGGGAAAAGGGAAGCAGGGTCAGCCCTGAGCTGTCTGCTCTTGTCCCTGTTCACTGTCTCTAACACTACAGAATCAGTGGGGACAGCTTGAACTGGGAGCCAAGTCTGGGTGCTTGTGTGACATGATCAAGCATGAGCATATAGCACTTCACTTTGTGTGTTCCACATTGGCCTTCTGAGCCCATCTCTGATGACTGGGTTCATGCATTGTTGTCCTGGACAAAGCAAGAATCCAGCAGCAATTTCAATCTGAGAAAACAAAAACTCTGGTTGTAACTGGGCCTCAGGATGGTTTCACGTGGGCCACGGGAGCAGGTGCAGGGCACAACTAACCTCAAGGGTGACTTTCAGCACACACACCTCAGTTTTCTTGGCGACTAAGATGTGTTCCAAAGATGAAACTGTCCTTGTCAGCTATCCTGGCTGGGGTGCAAGCTCACCTCAGACCCTGTCTGCCCTGCCAATACTCAGAGTTAGAATCCCTATGACTCCTTGGTGGGAAGAGGAGAAGGTAGAGCTCCCCAGGGACCAGGCTTTTCTGGAACTTCTATGCTTGGCTATAGTGTGGTATCAACTGGAGATAACCCAAGTATTCATGGTACTTTGGTGACAGCCATAGAATTCTTGGTTTTCTCTATACAGGCTTGGGAGGACAGGTCAGGGACTTCCATGACTCCAAAGTCTGAATCACACGCCCTTATAACTGCACTTGTTACTTTCCCCAAGCATAGCACCTACCTCAGGCATCCTGTCCACTCAGCTCATCATTAACTCCACAGGCTGTGGCCCCTCTGTCCTGCATAATGCCTCATGAATAAACTCATGAGATACACTCTGTGGATTGCCTATCACTGTAGTGATTTCCTCTCTGAATCTTTTCTGACCCATGCCAGGCTCCAATTTTAATCTCTCACCGTTTTTGTGCCATAGAACCCTCCTTAGATTGAGGTGGCATCCCTTTTGAGGCCCCTGTTAGCCTTTGTGCTGAAGGCATCATGAAATGTAACTTTTGACCAGAGTATTCCTAAGTTCTGGAGTATCTACAGGGTGGTCCATAGGCACCTCATTCTCAGCAATTGCAATTCCTCAGGTGTCACCTTCCTTCAGATGGGGATCTGAATCTGCTGCTGGGCCTGCAGATTTCCTTGCTTCAGCTCATGGCTCAGCCATTTTATTACTCTGGCCAGAAATCGGCTCATGTGGGCACCTATCTCTCCTCACAGGCAAATGTTTACAACCTATGGGACCTGTTTTAGACCAGGCTGCTGCAGCTACCGATGGATTCTTCAGTTGTCTCCTCACGGATCTTTCAAATGTCCCTTATTCCCTGAAGGATAAATCTATACCCTTTGCCTGCTTTAAATATTATTTGGTGTGTGTGTGTGTGTGTGTGTGTGTGTGTGTGTGTGTGTGTGTATGTATGTGTGTGTGTGCACACTCATGGGTACCAAGGATGGAACCCAGGACCTGCAGCATGCTAGGCAAGTGCTCTACCTCTGAGCCTCCTTCCTAGCTGTGTGCCCCATGGCTACCTCATCTGTACCACTTTGCTCCTGTTTTCTGTCTGATCACACTGGTGAAGAGCTGTAGACCCCTAGGCTGTGGGGTATCACCTTTCTCCCTTCTCTGTGTTCACCTCATAAACACATAGTCATACACACATTTAATCCCAGCACTTGGGAGGCAGAGGCAGGTGGGTCTCTGAGTTTGAGGCCAGCCTGGCTTATATAGCAAGTTCCAGGATAGTCAGGGCTACACAGAGAAACCCTGTCTCATAAAACAATAATTTCAGTTAGTCAACAGAGCATTTTGTGGCTTGGTGGGCTTGGGGGAATGGCTGGAGTGCACCAGCAGAAGTCCCACCCTCAACAAGCATGTAAATTTAAATCTGCCTGAGTAAACTATTAATTGCCGCTTTGGTCAAGAGCATCACAAGTTAGTGGGCTGGGCTGCGGGCTGGAGGAAGGAACCGTGAGGCAGGACAGGGGTAGCCTGGCTTTCATGGAATGTCATTAGTACGTTCTAGATAGGCTGGTTGTCAGCAGCCACCTTACTTACTTCTCTTGGGGCCAAGGAGGCCACCATATGAATCTGTGTAGGAAGGCCAGAGGCCAAACTCTTGGAGCTGGCTCTCCCCTCCTGCAATGCTTCTTTGCAAACTGGCCTCTTTCTGGCCCTAGATGAAGGCAGTCATGGAGCCTGCAAGCTTTGGAGTGGCCTTCCTGGATTAACTACCTTTAACTCAGTGTTACTTTGGGGATGGGAAGAATTGATAAATGTGGATTTCTTAGAACGATGTATGGTAGCACACACATTGCAAAATCTCTAACTACTACCTTGCTCCCTTTCTACCCGCTTTCTAGGCTGGCAGGGATAGGTGTGACCCACAGCAGAGCTCCTGAATCTCACCAACAGGCCCCGAATACATGTGTATAACTGGCCCTTCTTTCTCTGCAGGCCAACTGACTGGAAAGATGGCAGCACACCTGGAGAAAAGGCAAAAACTCTGGGCCAGGAGGGAAGGAGGCTGTTGCAGCTTGTGAGGACATTTAGATCCTATGACTCAGTGCCTAAATTACTACTATTTCTTGGAGAGTTTTTCTCTGTGCCTCATGTGACTTGGGAAACAAAACAAATGTTTATTTCCCCAAAGCTGGAGGGGACCAAACATAAAAGCAACCCTGTCTGGCACATGGTGCTAGCTAGTACAGCTCTTAGTGAGAGAAAAGGTCCTCACATTCTTCTAGCAGGGCAGGAACCCTGGAATGGGTAGAGGCTATCCCTCACTGTCCAACCCTGTTTTTACACAGAAGCTGGGTAGTCATGCAGTTATCGTTTATACCTTTTCTGAACTTGGTATTTTCATCTGTGAAAAAATGAGCTAACTTCTTCCTGGCTATTATAGTAACCAGCAATGATGTCTGCTAAATCTTTACTACAGGTACACAGCAAATGCACTGGGAAAAGCAAGTTCTCATATATAGCTCATCTTGACTAGTGGAGGGACCGCCCAGTTTGTAAGGAGATGGGCACTATGAACATCAGTAACACCACTTCATTCTGGGAAAAGCAAGTTCTCATATATAGCTCATCTTGACTAGTGGAGGGACGGCCCAGTTTGTAAGGAGATGGGCACTATGAACACTATGAACACTATGAACAGTAATAATGTGGCTGGCATTTACAAAGAAATAGTGCAGGCCTGGAAAGATGGCTCCGCAGCTAAAGATCACTGGCTGCTTGCCCAGAGGACTTAGGTTTGATTCCCAGAACCTACATGGTAGTTACCATCTGTAACTCCAGCCCTGGGGGATCTGATGCCCTCTTCTGGCCCCTGTGGCCAACACACACACACAACACACACCCACACACACACACGCACACACACACACACTCACACACACACCCACATACACAAATGCAAACTCCTTATTTATTACTGGAGAACTTTGATAGCTAGAGACAAGTAGTGATGGTCACAAAGTCAGGAGCAGGGCTAGACCTAAAATTCCTGACTCCCTCACCCCTACCCAATGGCACTTCTAGAAGGCAGTCTGGTAGGCCATGGAATCTAGCTGATTTCCCTTCTAGTGCCTCACCTGGGCCCTGCCCAGAGAGGGGATTTTCCAAGTAATTGAGGACCAACCAGACAGGTGCTGGGTCTTAGGCTTCTATTACCTGCAGCCCCCATTAATACTGTGTCCTTACTGTTCCACCTTGGCCCAGCCTGCTTTTACCTCATCAAACAGCTGCAGCATGATGGTGAGCACATCTGGATGGGCCTTGTCCACTTCATCAAAGAGGACTACTGCATTGGGGCACTGTTTTAGCTTCTTGGTCAGCTGGCCTCCCTCTTCATGGCCGATGTAGCCTGGTGGAGACCCAATAAACTTGGCTACCTGGTATAGGGCAAGAACATGTTAGGAAGGTCTTTTTTTTTTTTTTTTAAACCCCGAGACAGGGTTTCTCTGTATAACCTTGGATGTCCTGGAACTTGTTCTTTAGACCAAGCTGGTCTCAAACTCAGAGATCGACCTGTCTCTGCCTCCTGAGTGCTAGGATTAAAGATAATGTGCCACCACCTGGCTTCTTTTTATGTTTTTAGCTTACAATATGGGGCCAGTGTGGGAAGATGGCTGTATGCATACAGTATTAAGAAGGCCAGTCTCAGCAAGGATAATCAGCTACAGGTCAGGAATCCTGCCACGATGGGAGAGTAGATAGATCAGTTTCTTCAGAGCAAATTTTATGTAGAACACAGTAGTGACTCTATTGTGCATGTACCCACTCCCCCACCCCCCAGGACAAATCCTAGGGCTGCTGGAATTATTGGAAGCCCAAAGGCTCAAATGACAAATCATACAAACCACCAAAGTAGCCATGATGGCAGACCCTGTGAGCTACACTTCCTTGAAGACTATCTCACCTCATGTCGCTCCTGGAACTCAGACATGTCGAGCCGAATGAAGCCCTGCATGGAAAAAAGCAGGTCTGTCAATATGAGACAGGAAGCAGAGGAAGGACCCAGGCCAGAGCCCTTAATTATCCTAGGCCTTCAGGCCACAGCAGCTTGAGATGTCTGTCACATTCTCAGAAGTCCACATTTTTCTTACTCTGGCCTTCTTCTTTGCCAATTTACTTTCCCACATGACACCCTCATTTTCTACCTTCTTAAGGCCAATCACATTTCTGCCCTTCTAAACATGACTCAGGATGTCCTGTCCCTCAGCTTCTATTGGTCTCATCACTACATTATCTCTAACTCCCATCCCCTCCTCCTTTATTCCCAGGGGATGTTTCACATATGCCCAGCAACTGAAGTTGTTGTCCTTGAGGAGTAGCTATCTGAGTGGTGCAGGCAGGCATGGCCAAGGTCAGCACCACCAGTGTAGATGGAGAAGAGATGAAGGACAGGGCTCCACAGTGCTCTTCAACTTTGCAAGGCTGCGGGGGGGGGGGGGGGGGGGGGTCGGGGTCGGT